GATCACCTCCTTGGCCCTGCTTGTGATGCATCTGTGGATGCACAACAAGGTACAGTTAGCCCTACTGACCGTGTCCTTGTATTGTTGGTCCATGTTCATCTTGGAGTCAATAATGACTCCAAGATCTCTTTCTGCCACCATGCTTTCGAGAAGGGAGTTCCGCAGCCTATAGGTATGCTGCTGGTTCCTACTGCCCAAGTGCAGCCCCCTGTACTTGTCAGTATTGAATCCCATCCTATTTTCATTTGCCCACCCCTGTAACCTGTCCAGATCCCGCTGTAATCTGTCCTTCCCTTCTTGCGTGCTCACTTCACCCCATATCTTGGAGTCGTCTGCGAATTTAAACCGGTTGCTTTTCACCCCGTCGTCCAAGTTGCTAATAAAGAAATTGAACAGTGTGGGCCCAAGGACTGAGCCCTGGGGGACTCCATTGCCCACTTCACTCCAGGTCGAATATGACCCATCCATCACCACTCTCTGAGTACAACTCCTCAGCCAATTTGGAATCCATCTGACTGTGTAGGCATCAATGCCACAGTTGCCTAGCTTTTTAATGAGAATGGGGTGGGAGACCGTGTCAAAGGCCTTCCTGAAGTCCAGAAAGACTACATCCACTGCGACACCTGTGTCGAATGATTTTGTGACCTGATCATAGAAGGCAATCAGGTTGGTCTGACGGGACCTGCCCCAATGAAACCATGCTGGTTGCCCTTAAGCATCATCCCTGCTGCTGGCCCATCACAGATGTGCTCCTTGATAATCTTCTCAAAGAGCTTCCCCAAGATTGAAGTAAGATTAATGGGCCTATAGTTGCCCAGGTCCTCCCTCTTCCCTTTTTTAAAGATGGGGACCACATTGACCTTCTTCCAGTCATCCGGCACCTGGCCAGAGCACCATGAGTGCTCATAAAGCCGTGCCAGGGGCTCCACAATAACCCCTGCCAATTCCCTCAACACCCTGGAGTGGAGAGACTCTGGGCCTGCTGATTTGAGCACGTCCAGCCCCTCCAGAAGTTCCCTAACTCGGTCCTCCCTGACCCTAGGCCTGGCAGAGTTTCTCCTGAGTCCATCCTGAATCTCAGTAGGGGAGTCCCAGTCCCTGCACAAGAAAATGGAGGCAAAGAAATTGTTAAAGAGGTCTGCTTTCTCCTCTGGTGCAACCACCAGATTGCCAAGCATATCCTGCAGGGGACCCACATTATCTGGTGCCTTCTTCATGCTCCCTATGTATTTAAGAAAGGACTTTGTATTATCCTTGATCCTTGATGCTAGTTCTAGTTCCATATCTGCCTTAGCTTTCCTAACCCTACAGACCTGAGCGGTGGAGGTATACTCCTCTTTGGTGATAGCCCCTCCCTTTGGTGATTTGAGAGGCAAAGTTTTTTGGTGATATCTTTTATTGGACCAAATGTATATTTGGAACAGCTGTTAGATAAGCTTTCAGGTGCCAAGTGCCATTACTCAACTCTGGCTCTGGCTCTGGCTCTGGCTCTGGCTCTGGCTGAAGACGGGCACTATTTTGTGTCTGAAAGACTGTCTAACATCTTTCTCAACTATACAGTTGGTCCAAAAGAACATGCCAACAGAGGAAAGCCTTGCCTGTCATTGAATATTCAGACATTTAAAAAAAATTTCATTCCAAATCAGGAAACCCCCCCCCCAAAAAATCACATTTTCCTGAAATTAAATTCTGAAAAAAAATGTTTTTGGTTAACTGAAACTTTTTTTTATAACATCAAAATGTTTAATTCTGATTTTGATTTTTTTAATCATTTAAAAACAATTTACAAACAAAAAGCTATTTCAACATGGAACATCAAAATATGTTCCAAGGGAAGCAATGTATACATAAATGAATAACTTTTCACTCCATTTTTAATTAAATGATGCTGGTATAAATTCATTTCTACAGTGTGATTTGACTTTGATAAAATCTCATTTTTCAATGGGGAAAACGTTCCTTCTGGAAAATTTGAACCAACTTCAGATTTAAATGCCTTTGTAGGTCCCCACTACTCCAAATATCATTCCAATTCTGTGCTCTCCTTCATTTTCCTCTCCACCAAATCTCTTCCCTCAGTTTGCATCCTCTCCAGAGTTGCCAACCCGAGGAAATTATTTTTACTGACATCTGCAAAGTTTTTACTGACAACCAAACTTTTTTTACTGACATATGTTTTACATAATGTACATGGAACCCTTCTGCCAGGCCTTGGACAAGGGCTGGGTTTAAACTATTGTAAAAGTGGTGGAAGATTATCGGTAGAAAAAAAATGTTCAGTTATTAACTCTACCTGTCTGCAGCAATGGTTTTTACTCTATGCTGCACCCATCCGAGGAGCTCCCTATTCACCCTCGCACCGTGGTGCCCCCAACTGTACCCCACACCATACTAGTCCCATCAGCCCCACTCCACTCTGTCCCAGCATGGATGCTCCCCACCAAAAAAAGACCACTGTCTGCTTGCCTGTTACCCAACAGTGTTACAGGCAGACAGGAAGTAGTACCCACACCAGAAGCCATACATGGCACCCACAAAACCCCAAGTAGAGCTGCCTTTGAAGTGCTGCACACCTGCTCAGACACCAGGTGGAGCTGCTGTGCTTTGGGATGTTTTCCAACAACGGAGTTTCAGCAGCTTTTTTAGTGCCAGTTTTGCTTTGTGATTTATGGTCAGTACAGTTTTCTTACAGAATTTAGGAACTTGCATTTTTAGTCTGGCTATTTAAGGAGTATCTGTACATTTATGGACAGTTGGCAACTCTAGTCCTCTCCAAGGTCCCCCAAGACTTCCCCTGAGGATGTGTCTTCTCTGAGGGTGTGAACCTACATGAGATTAATTCAGTACAAACTGGCTTCTCTGCCACCTAGGGGTGAGGCTTTCTAATAGTACCTATGTCCATAGTTTGAAAGCTGGTCATGTGGCTACTGTTTATTATGGAATAAATACATTACATGATAAAATCTTAGGCAAATTACTGCATAGTAATTGGGACATATGTCTATGACCAGAGGCCTTGTTTCCTGGTGATGAGGTTCTTCCCCTTCTCAGCTGCCTTTTCACAAAGTTCCTCTTGAAGCTGGATCCCAGCAGCATGACTTCCTCTCTAGTTCCCCTTCTCTTCAATAGCCCTTCAACTCTCCTTCTCAAAGTTAGGGTCTATGTGGTTCCTTTTTCCCATATCTGAGCCATTTTTCATGGAAGCAGTAGGAAAAGCAGCAACAAGCTATTATGCTTGTTGGAAATCTATAACTGAGAAGGGTATGCTGCCTCTGTGTGTCCTGTTTGGTCACTGCAGCAAACAAATATTCCCACCTTGCAACAGACTTATTCTGAGTACATGGCAAGTGGGTGGTGATTCTTTCTGTTTCAAAAATCTCTGTGGGGTGGAGCTCTGAGTCAATGTCATAAAACATCTGCTCAGCAACTTCTTCTGCATTGAGATCTACAAAAGTGTTTCAGGAGGCATTGCCACCACTTCGCTGTTCTATGCAAGTGTCATTTTCAGGACCTGATCTGAATGCAGCAAAGACTTCAATGGAATCACTTAATGGCTTCCATCGGGTAAGGAAAAGAGAAAAAAAAAACAAACAAGATTTACCTGCTTTGAGATTATGGTTCACATCTTCTCAAGAGCGGTGTGTGCTTTTTTGCATTCTGCCTTTCTTATCTCTTGGAACTGTGTCTATAAGCAAACAGTTTGGCTGTTCCTCTGCCATTTCCAGATGTGAGGATTAGGTCAACACCCTACTATGTCTCTTACAAATGGTTGCAAACTTCACAGCATCTTTTCCACAGACATGTCAATACAAGCATAGATAGAGAACAAGATGCTGTAGCGTCGTGCATTCCCGTGGTAGCAGATTGAGTGTTAATAAGCAAAAATTCCACATTTTGGAATCAAAACATGATGGCATTGCAGTTAAGAAGCCAAGAAAAAAATATTATCACTTCTTTTTTTCTTTTCTTTTTCCTTAGGAATTAAATGGAAAAGCAAAGCCGTTTGGAAATGGAGAAATTAAATGGATAAGCCCATATGTGGCAGAATATGGTGCTGACTGTAGGGTATGTTATAACAGACAACATATTGAAAATGAAGTAATTTGTGGTTTTTGAGGGAAAGGGTATCAGGAATTTTAGAATGAATTTGCTATCTGTCAGAGATTTGCCTGTTTAGCAATACTAGCGATTCAAGGCTCATAGGTGAAATTTCCTTAAGTTAATCATTTGAAAACCATTTTTTGTTTATATTTGCTTGTTATATGCAATATTGTATGCAATTCATTCTTTTAAGAGAGATTCATTCAAGTGGGCTCCCTATTGTGTGCTATATACTGTTAAATTGGGGAGTGGAGGTGGGGGGAGCATGCCATTGAGCACAGAGGGAA